TCATGGTCCCCCTTGTACAACGTCTGTACCACCTCCATGGCCCCCCTTGTACAACGTCTGTACCACCACCATGGTCCCCCTTGTACCACGTCTGTACCACCTCCATGGTACCCCTTGTACGTCTATACCACCTCCATGGTCCCCCGTGTACAACGTCTGTACCACCTCCATGGTCCCCCTTGTACCACGTCTGTACCACCTCCATGGTACCCCTTGTACAACGTCTGTACCACCTCCATGGCCCCCCTTGTACAACGTCTGTACCACCTCCATGGCCCCCCTTGTACAACATCTGTACCACCTCCATGGCCCCCCTTGTACAACATCTGTACCACCTCCATGGTCCCCCTTGTACAACATCTGTACAACCTCCATGGTCCGCCTTGTACAACGTCTGTACCACTTCCATGGTCCCCCTTGTACAACATCTGTACAACCTCCATGGTCCGCCTTGTACAACGTCTGTACCACCTCCATAGTCCCCCTTGTACCACGTCTGTACCACCTCCATGGCCCCCCTTGTACAACGTCTATACCACCTCCATGGTCCCCCTTGTACACCGTCTGCACCACCACCATGGTCCCCCTTGTACAACGTCTGTACCACCACCATGGTCCCCCTTGTACCACATCTGTACCACCTCCATAGTCCGCCTTGTACAACGTCTATACCATCTCCATGGTCCCCCTTGTACAACGTCTGTACCACCTCCATGGCCCCCCTTGTACAACATCTATACCACCTCCATGGTCCCCCTTGTACAACATTTATACAACCTCCATGGTCCCCCTTGTACAATGTCTGTACCACCTCCATGGTCCCCCTTGTACAACGTCTATACCACCTCCATGGTCCCCCATGTACAACCTCTGTACAACCTCCATGGTCCCCCATGTACCACGTCTGTACAACCTCCATGGTCCCCCTTGTACCACGTCTGTACAACATCCATGGTCCCCCTTGTACAATTATCCCTTGATAGTTTCCTCTCCTTAGCCATGATCCTCTCCGTTCTTCTCTCCATCTTCCCGCTATATCTCTACAACCTCGATCTATTCTTCATTCCCATTTCTCTATATATCCATATACTCTATCCTCTTTATTCTTTGTCTGTCTTCCCTGTTTTTATCTTCCTCCTCTCTTCTGATTGTATTTATCCATTTTCTCTTATTGTTCCATATCCTCTTCCTACGCTTTGTTTTCCTCCTGATAATTTGGATGAGTTACTCACTATAATCTCTTCCCATGAAATAGATCATTAACCCAATCCTCAATCTCTAAATAGTGATGGATGTCAGCCCGCTCTAAAGTTTCCTTTCCTATCTCAATTGGAATATTATCAGTCCCTGGTAAATTGTCAGGTTTTTCTTGCCCTGGGTATCTTATCTGTCCTTCCCAAGACTGGCTGTAGTCAAATAACTGTATATCTACCTGTTTATCAGGTTATCTCCCCTTAAACAAGATATAGACATGGTCAATGTTATACATCTTACTAAAGAGACACAGCTGAATACTCCCCCCCCCCCCCCCCCCCCCCCCCCCCCCCCCCCACAAAAGCCGTTACCCCTCTAGATCTGTATGTAGAGTATAAGTGATCAAGTCTAGCAATAATGAAGTTATATACCAGGGCCCTGTTGTTCAAAAGGTGGTTAGCTTAATCACTATATAACAACATTTTTCGACCTTTAATGATTTTGTCAATATACAAGGCAAAATCTCACAGTTTTGCATGTAAATTCACTCTACTAAATATNCCCATCCCCCTCACTCCCTAGTTTGATTTATTACTTAAACTTCTCCCCTCCACACACACACACATCTCCCTCCAAACTGAAACTCCATCTACAATTTCATACCCTAGAACATTATCAATATATTCAATCTCCCGTCATATATTCTCACACATATCATTAAGACCTCCCCCCTCCCCATCCTCACACCCATTAAAATGAATCTCCTTCCTCTATAGGAATCAGATCACCCACACTTCTTTTCTGCAATAACCCCCCCCCCTCCATGAGAATCTTATCTACTCCTTCTCCATGAGGACATGTTTTGTGGGCACTTAAGTTGTGTGTTTAGAAAACTCTGATGGTTCTGCGTCTGTTTCCAAACATTTGAGAAGTGAGCACTGCAGCTGCAGTCAGTTCCACATTGTGTATCATTATCTTCAGGCAGGAAAATATACAAAAAGGAATCGGATACGGAAAAAAATGTGAAACATTCTTTCAGGGAACACAACTCTTGTGTTATCTGTTAAAGTTAAATATGCAATGTTTGTCAGTAATTACATGTAATAAAAACAAAATGTGCAGCATTTCAAAACATTTTCCTCAGATACCAAAGTCCTAGCATAAATTATTGGATACACATTCTAATTGAAATCTTGAATGTTATCAAAACTGTTTTTATGGTTCATGCGTAATAATTATGTTATATCCGTTCTGTTATTTCAATAATTAAATATTATTAGACTTTATTTAGAGTTGATAGTAAATGAGCCAAAAGCTCTTCTTCCACATTAGTCTGACAAAAAAGGAAGGCAGTACTGGGGCCACATTCCCTAACACTGATGGAAGTCAGGTTCTTCAGAGAACAAAGGTCAGGATTAGAGTTGACTATTGTGTTTGAGAAAAGTATGATTAAATTTGATTCATTTGAGTTTGAAAGTCAATCAATATGTTCAAGTTTCAGATAGTACATTTATTCCACTTGTTCCGATTACAGTTTGGTCAAGTATTTGACTCCTTTTAGTTTGAGTGCCCTAATTGACGGTTTATCAATATCTTTAAAAAAATACTGGTTTGTTAGGAAAAAAATGGACATGCATGGTGTACTATCCAGTAATACATGGTCATTGACCAATGATGTGGTAGATTTTAAGAAAATCTTCAGATATGATCTTCACTAATAGATATAATATGCTTATAAGTAACATATGTAGGTATATATAATAGAAATGATACTTGTTTATTTTGTTTATTTTATAGATGTACACATCCATTCATGTGCTTGGCACAGTCTGTATTTGTACAAAACCTTGTGATACTGTATCTGTGACGTGAAATAAGTTACATATGTGTGGTATTGGTTTGATATAAACGTCTGGTAATTAAAACCTTTGGACCTCAGGGTAAATATGGTACATGTATGTACAATGTACTATTCCCTGGCCTGTACAATACTAACAGTCTTTCAATCTTACATTGTAGTCAGGAAATCTAAGGAATGATTCTGTAACACAAGCCAAATACTTAGGAGCATTTGAGCCAATTTGATGCTGTTCTGAATGTGTTATTCACAGGCCCCTCACTGATTCCAGTATGGTAATTATTGAAACGGATAAATCTGTTTCAAATTGTTTCTTTTTCTCATAATTTCATGAAAGGGGTTTTGAATTGCGGTGCTATGTTTGTAACTTGATCGTAGCCTGTGTGACAAGTAATTGTAGCCTGCTGTGGTCGGATGTGAGGGCCAGTGTGTTTATGAGATGAAGCTGTGAGGTTACGAGGGCTGAACTGTGAGGCAGAGAGCAGTAATTTAGTCAGCTGTCTAATTTACATTTGGAAACTGGCTGTCACACACAAACTCAAACACACGCCTGTCACATCAACGTTTTCCTTGATTTTCAGGTCAGGAAGATTCACTGCAGCCGTAAATGAATTTCTTTAATCTGACAACCAGGGGTGACAATTAAAGCTCGTTGGCTTGTCCTAGTTATGGGATTTTAAGGAGATCATTTCCACCAGGCTGTCTCTAGTTATAACATATTGCAAAGACGAAAATGTGAAAGTAGTGTATCGAAGAAAACGTTCTCCAAACATCATATTAATCTGTTAAACATACTTAAAGGATTTTTTTATCTCGTAGAAAAATCTTCTTATATATACCATAAAGTAAAAGAAAGTTACATAAAAGTTGAATTAGTATCACAGAACAAGAGATCCATTGGTCCTGTGTCGATGACCTGTTTAGCTCACCTGGAACAAAATGCCTGTTTACTCAGCTTATGGTATAGCATTTTTCCATTGTTTTTATCTAGGCTATCCCTCATCATTTTTCCATTGTTTTTATCTAGGCTATTTACCCTTGTCCACTTTTCATTTATACCCTTCTCTTCAACATTTGTCATATCTACCATCTTGTATAAAAGACACACAATTCTCTCAAGATCGTACAGTCTAGTTGTGTAATTAATTTAACTCTTTCACCCCTGAAAACACATTTGAACTCTGCCAATTCATAGGTTGGAATAGTTTATTAAGAAATGTCAGGGGTGAATGAGTTAAGGAATGATTCTCCAATGAAAACAAAGTATTTGAGAGCATTTTGATTCACCAACTTGATGCTTGCTCTGAATGCTTACCTGGTAGTTCAAGGCCCACTCGCTGGTTCCAGTGTAGTAAAATTCTGTTTAAAAATGTTTTGTATAGTTTACATCATATTTTAACAAAAAAAATGTTTGGTTTAAAAACTGCAAATCAATTTGATTTTCCATTCAAAGATTTATCTGCTGGACATAGGGAAACTTTTGCACTGTCCAATAGTTAGCCTTCACTGTTTTAATCCATATTTGCCCAGAGCTAATTTTGTCCTTCACATATAATTACTATATACAATGTACATGATGTTGTGCACTTAAAATATTTGCTATCATCATACTTTAGCCCTCATTGTATAGAGCGAAAAAGGTAAAAATTAAACTGTGATGTGAATTTTCTGGTGTTCTGTATTAGATTAACCTACGATAGTTGCTCTCCCTATATATATAAGTTATAAACAGTAAAACCTTGTTATACTGCCACCATTTGTCCAGAGAAATTTTGGCATTATAAAGAAACGACTTTGGTAATGAATTAAGGGAAATATTCAAAGAAATTTGTAAGAAAAAGAAAAAAAGAACCTTGAAATAGTTTGAAGTGAGGTGGTAAACAGAAATAGGGTTTTACTGTACAGAATATCATAAGTTAAGATTGAAATATTTACTTTTCTATTACAGGGAATGGTGGTGAACGGATTTGTGAATGTCGTGATTTCAAGTGTAGAGCGACGTTACGACCTAAGCAGTACGGAGTCTGGGGCCATCGCGAGTTGTTATGACATTGCCTCTGTGTTATGTTTGATTCCTGTGAGTTACTTTGGTGGGCTCGGCTGTAAGCCCCGATACCTGGGGATTGGGGTGTTTGTGATGGGGCTAGGATCACTCATGTTCGCCCTACCACAGTTTATCTCCGGGCTGTATGAGATGGGAGGTCCGGAGGGGCCCAACTTGTGTGGTGAGACGAGTAACACATCCCTCGAGCACTGTATGTCCAGTACAGGTCCCACAGGCCTTTCCCACTACAAATACATCTTCTACTTGGGACAGTTAATGCATGGTGCTGGCGCGGCACCTCTCTATACCCTCGGGACGACTTACCTCGATGACAACTTGCCAGTCACATCCTCCTCCATGCATCAGGGTGGGTTTTCAGTTTACTTATAAACTCATAACCACAAACATTGTGTTGGTAAAACAGCAACCGAAATAAATGTACGTGTCATTTGATAGACTTTGTGAGTCTGCTTTCTCTTCAAGGCTATATTTTAATTTTGAGACCATGTGTCAGTCGGGGGCAAATATTAAAAGTGAAAGGACTAATACGTATCTAACAGAATATTCTACACAGCCTGTAATCTGCTCAGTTAAAAACACACCTTGATTTGAGTGAATTATTATTTGTTTAATATATAGTATTTATATAGTTAAACAGCACTGTTGGTGCTATGTCTTACCAGAACAGACATGTACCACAGCCAGGTAACTTACCTGTACTGACTGATTATATACCACACCCAAGTAACTTACCTGTACTGACTGATTATATACCACACCCAGGTAGCTAACCTGTACTGACTGATATTATACCACACCCAGGTAACTTACCTGTACTGACTGATTATATACCATACCCAGGTAGCTAACCTGTACTGACTGATTATATACCATACCCAGGTAACTTACCTGTACTGACTGATTATATACCACACCCAGGTTACTTACCTGTACTGACTGATTATATACCACGCCCAGGTAACTAACCTATACTGACTGATTATATACCACACCCAGGTAACTTACCTGTACTGACTGATTATATACCACACCCAGGTAGCTATAACCTATACTGACTGATTATATAACACACCCAGGTAACTTACCTGTACTGACTGATTATATACCACACCCAGGTAGCTAACCTGTACTGACTGATTATATACCACACCCAGGTTACTTACCTGTACTAACTGATTATATATCGAAATCGATGATGCTGAATCACAAGCTCCAAGGGAGATAATTTACTCAAATATCACTACAATATGTCAGCGGCAATTAACCTGCTCATTATCACCTAATAACAACTGAAAAAAGATAAATTAATATGAAACATGACTTTCTTGGCCGATACTATTTATATTACCATACTTTACACATTACAGAGTTCTCAGGCCTATCTGAGGTTTTGTTTTCTACCTGGTATTCTAATGAATGTACAGACATATAACATGGGTGTGAATTAGCAATCCAGAAACTGAGAGGTCAAATATTGACATCTTTCTGTTTTACAGGGTTGTTCTATTTCTGTTTTACAGGGTTGTTCTATTTCTGTTTTACAGGGTTGTTCTACGGTTGCGCTATCCTGGGACCAGCGGTGGGATACTTGGCTGGGGGAGCCTTCCTCGACCTGTACGTGGACATCGACAAGGGATCCAGTCCCAGGTATGGATCAGTGATACTAAACAGTGTGACTAACCTGTGTTTCGGTCACCAGGGCCAAAGACTCGAGTGTCCTGTTGTAAACCTGTTTGTGTACACGTGTCAGATGAGAGTCACATGATAACATAAACAAATGTAAAAATAACAGTCACAACAGGTTAATTTGTTTTCCAAAATTTCTACATTACACTAATGTCTTATAGTGGAACTGGACTGGATTGATCACCGGCATCTAGGTAGAGCGTCTGTCTTGAGACAACACTATAAAGTCTATGTTGAGACTTTTCAATGAGACAGCACTAATACAATCTATGTTCGTAGGTCGTCTCAAAGAGGTTCACATATTATCCGTGGTTATAAGGCCTTTACAACCAGCCAATATCTTTCTCATCTTCCTGGGTAGCATACAGCTTGGGTGCTGCCACATCGGGCCTCACAGCTAGCATTCAACAATTCTAGCACTGCCCAGGCACATATTCATTTACAGCTAAGTAGACTAGAACAAGCATAATAAAGTATCTTGTTCAAAGATACAACACAGTGGAGTGACGTGACTCGAACCTGCAACCCTTTGGTCACGAGCCCTGCGTCCTACCACTAGACTACCGAGCCTCCAGTTACCTAAGCTTTTAATAAAATGCTTAACCCAATGTCCCAACCCATCATATCATGTCTACCCTTGGGTCCATGTCCTTCACAGAACCAAACGGCCATGTTGTGTCCTCTGTTACAGCCTCTCCCTGTCTGGGCCTCGCTATGTCGGTGCATGGTGGGTTGGTTTCCTCCTCAGTGCTGCCCTTGCCTTCATAGTGGCTATTCCTCTTTGTGGCTTCCCCAGCAACCTTCCAGGTAAGTAATGCCTTAATCCTAAACATTCCTTTTATTTGTTCCATCAGGTAAGTATTTTGTCTTAATGGTAGACTGTCTGAAAGATTAAGGATACCCCACTTCTCTAAACTTTGCTCAGAAAGATTATTTTCATGTTTTTCGACTTAGTGGATTCAATTCTAAATTGTATCGCTTGTGTATCACCAGCATCAGAATTTCCTCAATTTCATGACATCACATCTTAGTTTCCCACTGTAATTTCATGCCCATGAAACAGTGTTATTCGTATTTGAGTGACTTTCGCTACGTCTCCTTCACTAATTCATTTCCACCACTAAAATTTGACCATATACTCACTGCTCAGCCTATCAAAGCCATAAAATGCAAGATTTTATGAGACAGCAACTCATTTGCATTCATATGGGAAAGAAAGGCTTTACACTGTATTTAGGTACTCAGCATTATGTAGGCTTTGTTCCCATATACTTCCTGTACACCTGTCTGTATCTATATGTTATAATTTATTGCAGAAAATGACATCTGCGCTAATTTATTAACTTAGGAACTACTTTTCTGCTAATTCAAGTGTGTACTTATAATAAAGCCCTGACTTAGGAACTACTTTAAATTTTCTGCTAAATTTAAGTGTGTACTTATAATAAAGCCCTGGCTTAGGAACTACTTTTCTGCTAAATTTAAGGGTGTACTTGTAATACAGCCCTGACTTAGGAACTACTTTTCTGCTAAATTTAAGGTTGTACTTGTAATAAAGTCGTGACTTAGGAACTACTTTTCTGCAAATTTAAGGGTGTACAGATGTACTTGTAATAAAGTCCTGACTTAGGAACTACTTTTCTGCTAAATTTAAGGGTGTACAGATGTACTTGTAATACAGCCCTGACTTAGGAACTACTTTTCTGCTAATTTAAGGGTGTACTTGTAATAAAGCCGTGACTTAGGAACCACTTTTCTGCTAAATTTAAGGGTGTACTTATAATAAAGTCTAATAAAAACTAAGTCTATAATTGTCATTGACAGGATCATGGAGGTTTAGGGCAGAACATGGGAAGGAGGTTTACAGGACGAGACATACAGTGTCGGAGCCTGAGTATGAGCCAGACAAAAAGAAACTAATGGTGATGAGGATTCTCACTTCTGTCCGTGTGCTGTTGTTGAACCCGACTTTCATGTTCCTGAACTTAGCGGCAGCATGTGAAGGTAGATCTACTAATTTCCATTAAAGTTAAGACAGAACCTTTTTTCTTCTTTTACCTTTCTTGTCTAGTATCTACTTAAATTTCTGGTCAAGAAATAGTTTTAATTAAAAATGTTTACTTAAAAGTAAGATCCTGAATATCAGCAATCACCAAGTATTCATTGTAATGACAACTGTACATTGTTTCAAAATTAGAGGCAACCCTTCTGTATATTGAGATATATGGCAACAACACAGACATTCCATGTTGCAGTGTTTTCTCATCTGTACAAGGTCAATGTGACACCTGAACGATGAGACATCAGTTTGACACCTGTTACATCTGTTACAGGAAATGTTCTAGCTGGATTTGCCACCTTTACACCCAAGTTTATCCAGGAGCAGTTCAGCATTCCGTCATCCAAGGCAGCCATGATTGTTGGTGAGTTCAGGAGTCCCATATATATACCACTGCCTACAACTAGCTATGCATGAGAAACTTATTACTGTCATGACTATAGCTTTGATCAATCATTTCAGAAAAGAAAACTATATTAACCTTGCAATGCAGAAGGTTTATTAAATTTAGTACGGATGAAATATACAAAAAATAATCAACATCAGTGTACTGAGTGTAAAACTGCAATGTGGCCGTATACCAGGATTCCAACCATGAACCCCCAATCACAATACAGTAGCTGTAACAGCTGAGCTACCTTATCACCAATAGATCATCCAAAACCAAATTAAAGGGAGGTTACTGTGTATTAAAAAACTATATTGGAGTTCTCTAGTGTTTTGCTTGCAGTGGGTCAGGGATCCTTAATTGTGTGATATTGCTTTGTATCAAGAGTTATCTCCCATTTATTTATTAGTGTAGCTTTATGTATTTTGACTTTTATGTTGTCAGAAGTGGTATAATATAATGACAAAGTTAATGTGCTTATAACATATCTGAAATGCTGAGATATAAAGTAATTTTACGTTAAACATAAATGACATATGTAACAATTTTGTAGGTTTTGCTGCTATTCCTGCTGGAGGTGGAGGCACATTTCTTGGGGGGTACCTGGTGAAACGATACAAACTAAGGATGAAGGGAATCATTCGTTTGTGCCTAGGGCTTACTCTGCCCTCTTTAATCCTGGCTCTTTGCTTCATCATCCACTGCCCCAACCAGGCATTCACAGGAGTCAATGTACCATACAGGACAACACAGAACAGGTAAGTTACTCATCCTTAACTCAAAGTAATTAGGGTACCATACAAGACAACAAAGAACAGGTAAGTTACTCATCCTTAACTCAAAGGAGTCAGGGTACCATACAGGACAACACAGAACAGATAAGTTACTCATCCTTAACTCAAAGGAGTCATTGTACCATACAGGACAGCACAGAACAGGTAAGTTACTCATCCCTAACTCAAAGGTGTCAGTGTACCATACAGGACAACACAGAACAGATAAGTTACTCATCCTTAACTCAAAGGAGTCAGGGTACCATACAGGACAACCCAGAACAGGTAAGTTACTCATCCTTAACTCAAAGGAGTCAATGTGCCATACAGGACAACACAGAACAGATCTGTTACTCATCCCTAACTCAATGGAGTCAGTGTACCATACAGGACAACACAGAACAGATCTGTTACTCATCCCTAACTCAAAGGAGTCAGGGTACCATACAGGACAACCCAGAACAGGTAAGTTACTCTTCCTTAACTCAAAGGAGTCAATGTGCCATACAGGACAACACAGAACAGAACTGTTACTCATCCCTAACTCAAAGGAGTCATTGTACGATACAGGACAGCACAGAACAGGGAAGTTACTCATCCTTAACTCATAGGAGTCAGGGTACCATACACGACAACACAGAACAGGTAAGTTACCCATCCTTAACTCAAAGGAGTCAATGTGCCATGCTGGACAACACAGAACAGATCTGTTACTCATCGCTAACTCAAAGGAGTCATTGTACCATACAGGACAGCACAGAATAGGTAAGTTACTCATCCCTAACTCAAAGGTGTCAGTGTACCATACAGGACAACACAGAATAGATCTGTTACTCATCCCTAACTCAAAGAAGTCAATGTACCATACAAGACACACAGAACAGGTAAGTTACTCACCCTTAACTCAAAGAAGTCAATGTACCATACAAGACACACAGAACAGGGAAGTTACTCATCCTTAACTCAAAGGTGTCAGGGTACCATACAGGACAACCCAGAACAGATCTGTTACTCATCGCTAACTCAAAGGAGTCAGGATACCATACAGGACAACACAGAACACGTAAGTTACTCATCCTTAACTCAAAGGAGTCATTGTACGATACAGGACAGCACAGAACAGGTAAGTTACCCATCCTTAACTCAAAGGAGTCAATGTGCCATACAGGACAACACAGAAGAGGTAAGTTACTCTTCCTTAACTCAAAGGAGTCAGGGAACCATACAGGACAACACAGAAAAGATCTGTTACTCATCCCTAACTCAAAGGAGCCAGGGTACCATACAGGACAACACAGAACAGGTAAGATACTCATCCTTAACTCAAAGGAGCCAATGTACAATACAAAACAACACAGAACAGGTAAGTTACTCATCCTAACTCAAAGGAGTGAAAGTTCCATACAGGGTAACACTGAAAGGGGTCAATTTTAATGTAATGCTACCACATCCAGAATCGGACTAGTCCATTTGTATCATCAACACGGACTAGTCCATTTGTATTATCAACACGGACTAGTCCATTTGTATCATTAGCAAGGACTAGTCCATTTGTATCATCAGCACGGACTAGTCCATTTGTATCATCAGCACGGACTAGTCCATTTGTATCATCAACACGGACTAGTCCATTTGTATCATCAACACGGACTAGTCCATTTGTATCATCACCACAGTGGCACGTACAGAATTTCGTCTTGAATATTTGTGTATTGCTTTTGGATTTTGACGATGTTTTATTTTGACGATGTTTTATTCCACTTTTCTCAATATTACCTTTAGATTAGATTGAGAAATATACAATATATAATATAATTGTTTAATAATAATGTATTTCTTTACAGGACAAGTGGTATCGGAGTAGTGGATGCCTGTCATCAGTCATGTGACTGTTCGCACGAGGACGAGTATCACCCTGTGTGTGGCAGTGATGGGAGTATGTATTTCTCACCATGTTACGCAGGCTGTACTACAACTACCAGGGACAGCCATACTCAGGTAGCTATCTCATCTTAATTCAAAGCTAAATAAATCAGAGTAATTAGTCTTAAATCCTTTTTCTTTCATACAAACTAAATAATGAAGAATTGAATATCTGAAGTAAATATGTATACAATTCTACAACCTTTAGAAGATCACTGATGTAAACAGTTGTTTACTCTCCACATCACTATATGGCAGAGTCCGCATGATAACAATTTTAATTTAGAATCTGAGTTACTTCCCCTTCATTATAGTAAGGTTTTCATGGAAAATAAAACTCTGCATAAATATATTCTCTTCTAGATATGAAAATCACTATAATTTGAAATAGTAAGATACCTCATAATTTGTTTTACGGACATTCAATTTAGATCCTAATTGAGATCACCAGTTGTTTAAACTTGTCTTGTGTATTGTAGAAGTCATGCTGGTGTTGATAACATTAAGGCTGGATTTTGTGTATTAAGATAAGATGTTGATAGGATGACGATGCACATGGTGTTATTTTCACAGCATTAGGTGAATCACCCTGATTTAGATTTGACTTTAAGATCCGGGGTAGTCCAGACCAGCAACATGACAACATGCAAAGATCACATAACAAATGAACAATGTTGTGGAAAATTTTAAAAAGTTTATGAAATGTTGAGACATTTTTGCATTATATGGGTAATGTAAACAATTGGTACCGTTATATTGGTTTTGAGCATAAGACTTAGCACCACTTAATAGGTATGACCTGTAAGTAGTTCTAGAAAATAAAGCATTAAAAGGTTGTTGCACCTAATTTCCACCATTGTTGATTCTTCAAAGAATGTTATCCCCATTTAGATTTTAATTGTACATATGATCATGGTCGCCTTACACTAGCTGATTGGCTGATTTAGTTGTGGGAGTCCTTTAATGAATGTTAGAGACACTCTAACATTTGTATAGAATCCTGTATTACACATTGAAGATAGAATTTAGTGGTTATATGGAGTATTCTTAATCATGTTGGTAGGTTTACCATAACTGTAGCTGTGTCCACCCCACGTCACATGACAGCCAGCAGGCAGTCGATGGCAAATGTGACAGTACCTGTAAGCTTCTCCCTATCTTCATGCCCATATTTGGATTATTGATGCTGTTGACCTTCACCTGCAGCATGCCTGCACTTGCGGCCACTCTAAGGTAAGTTGTGAAGGAGTTATGGCCCTTTAACTGCTATTGTGCTTTACCTGTTGGGCTATATTTCTTCGTTTCACCTACAGTTGTAAAAGTGTGTATGTAAGTAAGTATTTTGGAACAGAGTTATGTCCCTTGGTAAAATTTTACAGGATTTGGTTTGGAAGTATGAATTGCTTACAATACACTTTTCTTTGTTTTATAAGATTGTCACAAGGCAGCCTTACTTCTACTTCTATCTATTTTATCAGGTGTGTACCTCCTGAGGAGCGGTCGTTTGCCCTGGGAATACAGTGGATCATCGCTAGGTGTTTAGGTAATTATCAACCTCAGCTCTAGTCATCCACTTACAGTAAAAGCAAGTCCGGCATTTTTCCTTCCCCGTTATGCCCTGTTATGTTTGTTGCCCATATAAAATATGTCCAGCCATGGGGAGTGGTATGCGGTCTTGTGTCTTTGTAGACAAACATTTTGTTGAAGGAGGGAGAAAGATTTAGTGTAATTGATTAATTAAAATAATGTGGATAAGTTTCAGTATATACCCTGTAAATAGAAATACAGTAATGTGGATAAGATTCAGTATATTAACCCTGTACTTAGAAATACAGTAATGTGGATAAGTTTCAGTATATTAACCCTGTACTTAGAAATACAGTAATGTGGATAAGTTTCAGTTTATTAACCCTGTACATAGAAATACAGTAATGTGGATAAGTTTCAGTATATTATCCCTGTACATAGAAATACAGTAATGTGAATAAGTTTCAGTATATTAACCCTTTACATAGAAATACAGTAATGTGGATAAGTTTCAGTATATTAACCCTTTACATAGAAATACAGTAATGTGGATAAGTTTCAGTTTATTAACCCTGTACATAGAAATACAGTTATGTGGATAAGTTTCAGTATATACCCTGTACATAGAAATACAGTAATGTGGATAGGTTTCAGTATATACCCTGTACATAGAAATACAGTAATGTGGATAAGTTTC